AACACAAAAACTTAATCTCCAGAGCTGCTGTGACAGTCACTGCGCGAGAATTTTACCGTTTCATTTGAGAAAACTAGCATCATCATACTGTATACACACAGAAACTTCATGGCAACCTGTCAAAATAAAAGTACGGTTTAACATGTAACAGAAATATATTACTCTTGTATTACTTTTGTACAGTATAATGTACATCTTTAAAAATTCAATTTCTATCAAACCGAAATAAAACAATTAAATGATAAATAAATAATACAATTATTAGCCTATTAAAAAATGTTTTAAAAGAATATTCACACAATTTTTCTTCCATGTATTAATTTCAACAGTAAACCTCAGTTTGTTTGCCAAAAAATAAAAGGGTTTAACTTTCATTTGATTTAAAATAAAGGTTTAATGCCTTCATTTGATTTTCAGAAAAAGAGGGAGGGGGGGAGAAAGAAAGAAAAAGTTTGTAGGGCTCTATTGTTCAAAATGTTGAAATTGAGACTTTTGGACTTATTTTTTCACTGAAATAAATGTGTTTGTAATTACACAGAGAGTAAAGTACCGAAAAAAGGTACCGTTGGGTACCGGCACCGAAATTCAGGTACCGATACCGGTACCGTACCGGTTCAAATGTGAACAGTACCCAACCCTAATTATAATACAGTACCAGTCAAAAGTTTGGACACTTTCCCATTCGTGTGTCCAAACTTTTGACAAAGATATGTAATGAAGGCAGGGTATTTAACAATTTAACAATACATTTTATTATCCACAATGAGTCTGATATCAGTGCACTGAACAGTAAAGTTGAAGTTTATTCATGGGTTATTCAAGTTTATTTCAATTCAATTCCATTCAACTTTATTCCGTTGAAGTTTACTTCACTTCGGAACATTCATTCATAGATTTGCGCTATGCCACTGTCTTCACACAGGAAACTTACAAGAGAAGTGTGACATTATAAACCTCTGGAAATAAATACTATTTAAATTCACGTCTCGCGCACTTTAATGCCCTTTGAATGTAACATGTACGTTCCCTTCGAACTGGAATAGAGAGTATCCTGTGAAGTCCACTTCGCAGGGCACTTACGGTCGAATAGAACAAACCTCTGAAGTGGTAAGAGAAACATACAAAATGTGCAGAGCGGGGGGTCGCAAGGAACAGGATTAAGAACCGCTGCTTATAACATTGCATCTCACCAACGTAGCGCTAAATCGCCATTCAACAGACTCAAGCCACAAATTAGCAGCTTACCATTAAGACACCGCTTGAATGCTTCTGCCTGAACAAGAGACCTCCTTACTGAAGTGAAAGGCTTGACTGGTGTCACTATCTCGCGAACGTGGTGGCAGATCTCCACCAAATTGGGGGGATCCCTTCAGCTCGAGGAGCCCTCTCGAACGCCGCCCTCCACGTGTCGGTAGTCCACCGGGATCGCCAGATCGGTCGGTGCCTGACCGCAACTTTGACCGCATGTAACTCCCTGACTCCGGGGGCTATCGACGCGGGGGTGGTCTCATTCGAAAGGGGGCCTCAAGACGTACACTTGATTCAGCGTTCGAGAGGACTCCTTGAGCTGAAGGGATCCCCGAATTTGGTGCGGATCTGCGGCGCCGTTCATATGAAAATGTTCATATCGGTGGCATATCGGCGGCATATACGCCGATACCGATATATCTGCGACAGGCTCATATCGGCCGATAAAATCAGCAAAACGATATATCGGTCGGGCTCTAGAAATGAGTTTCAGTTAATATATCATATCATAACTATATCAAATATAAAAATTACTTGGAGCTGTAAATCTGTGCAATATAGGTAGGCTACGTGAGGACTTTTAAGAAGGTGAGTAAAAGAGACCTTCACTGTGATTAATATTTTTTTGAGGCTAAGTAATGACTATAATAACCACTAAAAATCTAAAAGGGATATTCAGTAAAGTATATAGTTCTATTTTACAGTAATTCCTGGTTCGAGGATCGCGCCACAAAACCAGTTATTTAATTTGTGCATAAATAGCCTACATATAATAGTATAAATAAAAATATACAGCAGAGAAGTGATATGAACATTTATTGCTTAAGTACACACTTACGCACATTAATAATAATATTTGCTGTAGATCAGATTTAATAACAGCTGTTTTAGTAAACTAAAACATTCAAAATATATGGAAAGATATATTGTTTCAGCATTGCAAGATTTTTATTCCCATTATCCACTCATAAAACCCCAGTTCACGCTGATGGTCAGGGCTATTTAGTATTATTGTCTTCACGGTTGTGCTTTAAAATAAAATTAAGACTAAACTGCGGGTTTGTCCAATGTCTTACTGAACTACAGTAATTTATCAACCTATTATCATCATCCGTTTGTGCTTATTCACCGATCCTAATGTAAATATAAAGAATATACATTTAAATATATATTATACAAAATAGCTAGATCTCATACGGTGGATCATTTTTATCAGCATATCGCCCAGTTCTTAAACTGCTCAATGTTAAATCATATGTCTGCTTTGAAACAATGTGTATTGTGAAAAGCGCTATAAAATCGGACTTAATTCAATGTGATATAGCCTAGGTATAGGACTATATCGTGACCACTTAATACATGAGCTCTGCCCTAATGTGTCGCCCCGCCCCATCGTCCAGGCTGCACTCTGGAGTACTTGGATGTCCCGGGGCTACTGTGTCTTCCAGTCGGACTACCAAAATGTATCACCGCCCTGCCGGTATGGGCTATCTTAAAAACAAGGTTCCTGCATTTCTTTAAAAACTCTTCAATTTAGTGGTATCAAATTTAAGACCATAAAAGTCTTAAATACTTCAAATGGTATAAGTCTTAATTATTGTTGCAGAGAATGAATTTGCATTTTCAATAAGCCCGTCTGCTGTTTTAGTTCAGACCAATGCGAAAATCAACCAATGTTTTTACATGTATTTATCCCATGTTTTTATCCCTTTTCTTAAAAATGGATTAAAGGCTGAAATGTGATGTTTATCATTGTATAAGATTTTTTGTTTTTGTGAAAACCTGTATCTAAACTGCAGATCGTGTCACTTTACGGTTTAATGTCATCATAGACATTGCCCTACCCCACTCACAGAGTTAATTGAATTTGTGCAGGCTTTAAAAAGAGTCATAAAAAAACCTAAAATTCATTTTTAAAAATCCTGCAGATACCCTGTAAATAGTGAAATAAAATTCCTTCCTTGATATTTGTGTTTTGAAATGTTTTTGACCCCTATCCTAGGTTCTAAAAATATTTTCTGTTTTTAATCTGGGCTAGTTAAATTTATTTCGGGCTACCAAAATCTGAAAAGTGCCTGCCGAAGGACTGCCAGGTATTTAGAAGTTTTGCGAGCCCTGGTTATTATTAACTTCCTTAGATAATTCTGGATTTTCTGTCAACACTGAGATATTTATGAACACGCTTATGATACCATTTTTTATAAATCAGCTATTTCACCTGTTCACTCAGCTCTTGTGAGTTCTACAGTTTTTATAATTGTAGGTAATTATATTTGTATAATTTCATGCTAAATGTCTATATTTCCTCCTGTGATGAAAACATGCAAACTCTGTCATATACACTGTCGAATGTTTGGGGCTGGTAAGATTTTTAACATTTTTGAAAAAAGCTCACCAAGGCTGTATTTCTTCCACAGTACAACAGTAATATTAAGAAATACTATTACAATTTAAAATAGCTTTTCTATTTTAATACATTTTAAAATGTAATTTATTCCTGTGATGGCAAAGCTGAATTTTCAGCATCATTACTCCAGTCTTCAGTGTCACATGACCCTTCAGAAATCATTCTATGCTGATTTGCTGCTTGAGAAACATTTCTTATTATTATCAGTGCTGAAAACAGCTGTGCTGCTTAATATTTTGGTGGAAACTGTGATATTTTTTTCAGAATTTTTTGATGAATATAAAGTTCAAAAGAACAGCATTTATTTGAAATAGAAATCTTTTGTAACAGTATAAACATCTTTTGATTAATTTAATGCATCCTTATTCAATAAAAGTAATTTGAGCCCCAACATTTTAAATGGTTGTGAACATTAGTAAATACTCTGTGATATTGAATTTTGTCAGGGTTAAACGTTGTTGCATAAATCTTTTTTATACCTCAAGATATGAATAGTACATCACTCAGTTTAAAACAATAACTCAGTTTTATGAGTTAACTGAAAGTCAAATTATTAGTTTAGTCTACATGTGAAAATCGTACCGACCCAGATTTTTAGATAATTCCCCTAGTTCTAAGCAGGTCCTGTTAATAACTAGAAACAGCATAAGGGGGGGGGGGGACTAAATGGCTTTATGGCTAAATGGATTTAATATGTGTTGATGGCGATTTTGTCAATACTGTAAGATTTTCTGACTGTGGTGAATCTGTTTGAAAGCACCCTGTAATTTCAATTCATTCGTTCATTGAAGTGATTTTTTTTTCAATTGGTCAGTAGTTATTATAACTAAATAATGACATGTTTTTATATCTAACAGTATTGAGCAATATTAATGGGCAACAAAATAAACACACAATAAGCTGGAGAATATTACCGAACATGTTGAATAGATTAATCCAAAATAATGCTTGATAAACAAGCTTTTATTTCTTCAGTTGTCCCTCAGTTCTTCAGCCTGTTTTGTCCCTGAAGACTCAAGCATAAGTGAGCGGCATGTCTGATGCAGTGGCTTCATAGTGCAACAGATACATGCTTGAATACTGATGAAGGAAAATATGCATTGCACAACTAGTTGAGTCAAAACTGATACTGGATCTTGCTTGAATGAAAATGCAGCTGCTGCCTGAGACATGATGGGCCATGTAGTCCAAACATACACACCAACGCTCATTACCTACCTTAAAATAGTACTGAGGAAACAAATCAAACTATAAAAATGTTGAAAAATTGGAGCAAATCAGACTGCGCTGATCTCTAGTCTACAAATGATTTGAAGATACTTTATTGGAAAGGAAAAATTCTTACCCAGCTTCCCCCGCGACTCCTCGAGCTTCTGAATTTGGTTTTCCAAAAAGATCATCACAATGGCGAAGGCCAACAGAGCCACGAGCTGAAACTTCGGCGGCATCTTTAACCTTAAAAACCCCATCAAAAAATCCAGCACAGAGAGGACATGCCGTGACCGAGAACTTTATGACACTCAGTTCATGGACGCAGCGAGCAGTGCTGCCATTTCATGATTCCCAGAGTCGAATATAAACACACACAGAGCAAACTACACTACAACGGGCACTTATAACCACCACAAAAACAGTTCCGTTAACAAAAATGTTGTATGCGTATTGAATCCGAACAGCTCAGACTATACTTCACTTGAGTAGCAGCTGGAGTGGACGTTCAGTTGTTGTTCAATCCTAGGAATTTGGGAAGTGTAGTGTAGGCACGTTGTGTCAGTGCGCATGCGCGTTCGTGGATCAGCTGTCGCTCTATGACTGGAGAATCTCACTTCACTCAAATACGACTCCTCTACATTCACTCTTCTGACAACACCACATAATATTTACCGTCAGTGACCATGTACAAATATTTTCTATCATTTTCAAAAATATTTATAGCATACAATTAAGCAAAAGATCACATAAAATCACCTTGTTTCCAGTTCTGCAATGGCACATAACAGAATTTCCATGCCATAAAGGCTTGTTGATAATATTTAGAAAGAACAATACTATGGGGTAAAAAAAAATTCTATTAGATTTGTCCAAACAATTCCTAAGCCAATGTACTTTTGAAGTGATGATGATGAATGCATGACAGATCTAGACACTTCTTGAGCTTAGTTAAAAAGACTGCCTATTATTGTTAAATCTCTTTGTTGCCAATTTTTAAAACAGTCTGATCTTTCTTTAAATCAAGGGTGAAGGTGATATTTTTTCAAATAGCGTTTTGGTTATGGTAAGACTTTTATTAATAAGCTCAATGTGTGTGTGCGTGCGTGCGTGCGTGCGTGTGTGTGTGTTGTGACGCACTTCCTGCTGAACTCAGTGGAAGAGAAACACTCATGGCGGTGGAGGTGTACCTGCTTTGGTTATTGCCGTTATTACAAACGGTAGGTGAATAAACCATATCTGCACATTTTCTTCTTTGAAAGAAGACACTCAACAATGACCAGTAATCCACGTGATTATGTAAAATATGGACTATTTACGTTCAAGGCGCTGGTTAGCCGGCTCGCTAATGTTAGCTACTGACGTGGCTCATCCGGCTGATAGTGTAAATAATGTTTTGCAAATCTACGTTATATAATATCGCAAATTTCATTTCTAACCGTGACATTAACTAACTTTGCACCTACTGCAAAATGTTTGAGACAATGATTTTTTATATGATCCGTAATGATTAAGTTCTAAAACTGTTGGCTAACTTAGTTTACCTGCAAAAAAAAATGAACTTGTAGATATACGTAACTTAAAACGCAAAATAAACATTACAGTTATGTAAAATATGTTTTCCTTTGTTTACACAAGTGGAAGTGTGATTTATTTGCTGTTTTGTGGATTTTCCGAGAGTAGCTGATAGTGCTCGCAACAAGGAAGCAAATTCACGAAGTGCTGTTCCATTATATTATTATTTTTTTACTTCAAAGTTAAACTAATGTTGCCTTGGCAACTAGCTGAAATAATAAAAAAAACGCATTTAAGGTTTATTTTATTTCAACAATTTTTTATGGTTTTAACTGTAATAACACTGGTCTCAAAAGTTCAAATCTCCCTTCATTCCAAAAGAATTAAACAAATTTTAAATGATTGTGCTTATTCTTAAACGGAAACGTATCAGCTATACTGTTTATTTATTTATTCAGTTATATTGTTTGTGACTAGGAGGCGAGATGTCAACCACCAGCTATAAACAGAATAGTCTTGTTGTCATAGCTGTGTAGCCAATGCTTGCAAATTCCTGCGCCTGTGCTTTACCCTCAATTTGCCTTGTTCTTTGACGTTGGCCTTTGAGGGTCATTAGAAACAAAGATGCTCTCAGAAAACAGCTGAGAATTTCCAATAGGTTTGAGATGTTGATTTAAAGGTCAACTGGTGTAAGTGCTTAGAGAATTGCATCTACTGCTTGTTTCATGTGTAAAATTAATGTGGTTAAAATCTTCCTGACTTAGCTGGCGTCTTATGGAGCGGAGCTCTCCTCTGAGGCCTGCAGGGAGATGGGCTTCTCCAGCAATCTCCTGTGCAGCTCCTGTGATCTCCTGGGTCAGTTCAGCCTAGGCCAGTTAGACCTGCCCTGCAGGCAGTGCTGCCAAGAGGAGGCTCAGCTGGAGTCAAGAATGGTGAGTTCAGCTTCTGTGCCAAATCACAAGGTCATTTTCTTACAGTGAACATGGAGCGCTGTAGCTTTAATGAAGCTTTCCTGCAGTTTTACCCACCAAACAATGAAAAATGCGCACAGCTTTTTGTCAAAGCACAAATATTTAGATACAAGCCAGAGGCCACAGTCTTGATTATTTGGTGTCATATCACTTGACTTTAATTAAGTCATCATTATTACAAAGACCAGTATATTTATTTATTAGCTTTGTCAATGTGAAAATCTGTTTGTACCCATATTAATGTATATTTGTCTTTTTTTTTGACAGCTCTATCCAGGAGCCATCCTTGAGGTCTGTGGATGAAAATTGGGGAGGTTCCCTCAAGTCCAAGGTAGGTTGAGGATTTGGCCTCAAATATGACTAATTTATACTTTATTATTCTTGTGCTGCTTGATGATTATACAAAAATGGCATAGAAATTTAGCAAAATAAACCAAGTTGATATGAAACGCTTCAAAGGGTGTTTTTCTTGTAGCAGCTGTTACAGCAGTTCAGCTGTTGTTGTGTGGAACAGACTACTAGAGTGTTTACTTTTGCACTCCTGTTACAAAACAGTAATTTTTGTGACTATATTTCCCTTCAGCTTTTGTCAGGAGTGACAAGCCAAAGATGTTCAGGGGTCTTCAGATCAAGGTAAAGATTTTTTTTTTTCAAAATATTTTTGGTAATAGTTAATAGTAGTAAAAAAAAAAAAAAAAAGTAAATCATAAAGGTAATAAACATGGACATACACTACTGTTCAAAAGTCTAGTTTTTTTTTTAAAGAAATTATCACTTATTATTAAGAAATTAATACTGTCATTCAGCAAGGATTCAATAAATCAATCAAAAGTCACAGTAAAGATTAACAAATTCTGTTTCAAATATGCTGTTGTTTTGAATTTAGATTAATCAAAAACGCAAAATAAACATTACAGTTATGTAAAATATGTTTTCCTTTGTTTACACAAGTGGAAGTGTGATTTATTTGCTGTTTTGTGGATTTTCCGAGAGTAGCTGATAGTGCTCGCAACAAGGAAGCAAATTCACGAAGTGCTGTTCCATTATCTTGTGTGGAGAGGGAATACAATTACATATATAAATTCCATACTATAAGGGCTTGATTAAACTTAGAAAGGACAATGTTATGGGGTATAAAAAATGAAATTCAATCAGATTCCAGGTCCAAACAATTCTTATGTCATTGCAATTCAATATTAAAGTCTCAAACAGTGTTATTTTAGTATCATAGAGATATTTGTTATTATAGTTGTTTTTTTTTTTTAGATGTTTTGAAAAGTTTATGTTTTTATAGTTTCCGTTTTAATTTTAACTTAAGTTCAAGTTTTTAAATTAATTTATTATATATAGTTTATATAGACATACACTACTGTTCAAAAGTCTAGTTTTTTTTTTAAAGAAATTATCACTTATTATTAAGAAATTAATACTGTCATTCAGCAAGGATTCAATAAATCAATCAAAAGTCACAGTAAAGATTAACAAATTCTGTTTCAAATATGCTGTTGTTTTGAATTTAGATTAATCAAAGAAATGTTTCTTGAGCAGCAAAGCAGCATATTAGAATGATTTCTGAAGAATCATGTGACACTGAAGACTGGAGTAATGATGCTGAAAATTTAGCTTTGCCATCACAGAAATTACATTTTAAAATATATTAAAATAAAATGTAAATTGTTATAATATTTCACAATATTTCAATTTTTAATGTGTTTTGTCTTTCAAAAAAAAAAAAGAAATCTCACCGACCACAAACATTTGAACGGTGGTGTATGTGTATATATAAAATACTATTACTTAGTACAAAATATTAACATTTGTCTAGAAAGATTGTATTGCTTGTATACTTGGTTTAAACACTGGTTAATTCTAGATGTTCTTTTTGCATTCATTCCAGTATGTCAGAGGCTCAGACCCTGTACTAAAGCTGCTGGACGATTACGGGAACATTGCGGACGAGCTCAGCATCCTCAAGTGGAATACAGACAGCGTGGAAGAATTTCTTAGTGAGAAGTTAGAACGAATTTAGACTCACAGTTTCATATTTAAAGTCAGATTTTCAACTGAATCAAAGGACCACAATTAATTTTTGTGCTTAATAATGGACGTTAAAAACATACATATAATTTTTTTTGTTCTCTGAAAGTAAACATCAGTTTGTGGTTTGAGTTTAAGTGATCAGGACATACTGTACTTATTTGTATGATTTTTCCGCTGCATATTGTTGAATCGTTGATATGCTGTGGCCTTTTATACGTCTTGTGTCTGAGTGAAGCCTGTTGAATGTGCTGGTTTGGTAAAGCTTGTGGCGACTCCTCAGAAGCACATGTTTATGTGGATTTGCACATTAGTGAAGGCCTGACAGTAAACCAGTCCCTGGAATGTGAGGCCTGAAGACCCTGTGTAAGTCTCTGAGCATGTCGTTATGGCGGGAACCTTCGAGCTTTACTCCAGTATGAGAAGGTGCAAACTCTTCATTTAAATGTTTAAAAAAATGAATTGAAACTCAATTTCATTAGTGCACAGACAAATAAACCTGTTTTTCATATTAATGTTTTTGACTTTTTCCCCATAGCATTTCATAGGTAAATGAGTAAATGGTTTAAGTGATATGACTGTTAATGACAAAAAAAGAGAAAAAAAACGAGATTTAATACTTAAATTTCGTCAGGTTTTTTGAATTTTCAATTTCAGGGCATTTTGGGAGGTGTTTTGGCATGCATTTGATTTATAATCTACACTAATAAATACCAAACTGTTAGTTGACTAAATTTTATTACAGTTTAAGAGTTCATTGGCATAATTATTTATGGCAAACCTACAACACATTGTTCTTGCTTCGAATTTACAAGCATTTTGAGCAGCACATATAATCTGTGATATGTATATTTTCACCACTAGATGTCAGCAGACATTTTGGTTGTACTCACTGTTTGGACAAATTATTGGATGAGTTTCAAAGATGGTGTCTAAACAAGAAAATAGTATAATTTAATGATAAATGAATCGTAATTTTAATAGTAATTTAATTTTCACAGATGTG